GTCCCCTGGTTCCCACCCACCCTGGCTTTCCCTCCACACCCCATCTGAGCCTTGGAACAGAGATCGGAACTGGGGGGAGAAGCAACCTCTGAGACTCAAGGTCCACTTGGACCTTCGATCCCTTTAAATAAAGTGCTCTGTACCAGCTGGCCTGCTCTCACTGTGATTCTGTCCTGAGATCTCGGCCAGTGGATGCAGCTCTTCCAAATTCTTCGGACACGTTGTGAGTCTGTTGTGTCTCAGCTCTTGGCTCCGCCGTGGGGACCCCGCAGTGGGGAGACCTAGAACTCTTGCCGAGGGCTCGTGTTCTGTGTAGGGCTGCCAGTCCAGCCCTCCAGTGGCCGCGAGGCTGCTCCTGTTTCCGCGTCTCACAGCCCCCAAGCCCAGGCACAGAGCAGGCATACATCTGGGGCAGGTTCTGGGCACAGGTGGCATGGGCAGCACTGCGACCCATCCGTCTGGTGTGACAGGAGGGCCAGCCAGGATGGAAGGCCTCGATTTATGCAGGATGCCTGGAGGGCAAAGGAGAGGCAGGGGCATGGGGGAGGGGGCCTCTCTGTGAGAGCCTCTGCCCTCAGCCCCTGACCCCCAGGCTGTCACAGCTCCACACCTTGGGGCCAGCCTTGGGCACGGGAAAGGCCTCACACCCTCTGCTTAGCTGCCCTCAGCCAGGAGTGCTGCCTGCTGGCCAGTGGTGCCCACTCCGTTCAGACCTAATTTGGTAGTGGCCTTAACATGACAACACTATTATTAAAAGATAATGATAGTTTACTTTTATTGAGAATCATGTGCCAGGTCCTGAGTTAAATGTTGTGCATACTCTAGCCCAAATGTATAATTAAAACACAGGGGACCGGAGGTAAAGGAATTTTCCCCAAGGCACAGAGCCAGGAAGTCCAGACATAAACCGACATAACCTTGTCCCCAAGGACATCTGCCCTGCCCGCCTGGGTGCCAGCTGGCTCGCGCACACTGTTCTCTCAGCAGAGTTCAGCTGGAGCGGAGGCACCCAAAAGGAAAGAAGGTGGAAGAGACACGACAACATGGGGGCCAGATCCAGGGAACCCACCGCCTGAGCCCACCTTTTGCTGTGAACTCCCTAGCAGCCAGGGCAAAAAGGGAAGGAGAGGGCAGATGGGCTTTATCACCAGGGAGGGTGTGGAAGAGTTTACCAAAAAAGCACTTACATCCCACTTCACAGTGAAGAGTCATGTGGGGTGATAGGCCTCAGGAGAGGGGGTGTCCTTGGGTAGGCCCCAGATGTCTCAGGGAGCCTTGGGGACCAAGTCTTGGCCCCACTGGGAAGTTCTGCACACCACGTCTAACAGCTGAATGAGTCTGTGTGGGGGCCATGGATTTAAAGTCAGTGTTCAGGGAAAGCATGTTCAGTCCACTGTGGAGCAAGGACGTGGCTCACCAAGTTCCTGACTGCGGTGGTCAATGTACGCGTCAACTTGGTGGGGCTGTGGCACCCAGACTGCTGGTCTGACATTGTTCTGGATACTTCTGTGAGGGCATTTCGGATGAGATGAGCATGTAAGTTGGGGGACTTGCGGCACGGTGATGGCTGTTCCCCAGCCAGCGAAGGCCTGAGTAGAACAGGAGGAGAAGGCCGGCTCCCCCGAGGGCAGGTGCTCTGCCCAGATGGCCTTTGGCTTCTGGTTTGGCCCCAGAGACCCTCAGACTCAAACGGCTGCCCTGCTCTGAGGCGCCAGTGCAGGCCTCCCCCGTCGGACTTGAGCTCGCCAGGCCTCCACAGTGCACGAGCCGATGCCTTACAGCAGCGTCTTTCTACACGTCCTGTCCTGTCGCTCTGGAGGACGTCAGCTAATGGCTGCAGGGACGCCACCCATAGACTCGCCCAGTGCAGCTGTGGCTCCAGGGCCTCCTGAGCCCCTTCAGCGAGATGCTCTCTTAGGGCAACAGAGGCCGGAGTTCTGCAGGTCTCAGCTAACCAGCCCCAGGGGAGATGCCTGCCCTTGGACGGCTCTGGCATTGAACCTAGGCGAGCCGCACAGGCCCCGGGTCCCGCGCTGGGATCTGGGTGCCCCCAGCTATGGAGTGTGTGAGTTGGCGTCCTTCTGTCGGGAGCAGGCTGCTGGGCCTGCCAGTGGGTAATAGATGCCATTGAACAACTGAAAGCCCATGTTAAAGGCAGGCAACCTGGACATCAAGCCCAGGCCTTGAGGGCCAGTGTGTAGGAGAAAGTTACTCCCTGCACGTCTTTTCAGACAAAAAGTAAGTAGAAGAGGAAGGGTGAACCGAGAGCAAATGCGGGCTCTGGGTGAGGACGAATCAGTGCAGGTTCCCGGCGGTAACACATGTGCCCACGGGCAGGGCTGTCGCAGGTGGGGCCGCGGGTTGTGGGGAGGGCATCCAGGAACCCTCTGTACTTCCCACCCAACTGTGCCCTGGGCCAGGAACTGCTCCAAAAAACATAGTCTATTTGGAAATGAAGAAAGAAAGTCAATTTTAAAAAAATAGCTCCAAGAAATCAAATATTTAGCTATGAATCTAACAAAACATACAGAATCTGTACAAGAGAAACCGCACACCACCAGTGAAGAGTTGCCTCAGCGGGGGGAGCACAGGCGAGTGTTCCCGCCTTTAAGGACACAACACAGTAAAGGTGTCAACTCTCCCAACCCTGGCATGCAAATTTAATGGGATTCCAGCAAAAATCTTAGCAGGAGTCTTTGTAGATATACAGAAATTTCACTTGGTCTGTTTGTGAAATTTATGTGGAAAGGCAAAAAATATGAGATGAGCCAAAACAATTTTGGCAAAAATAAAGAAAGCCAGGGCCATGATAGCACCTGCCTCTAAGATTCACTGTGCAGCAGTGTAGGCAGTGCGATCCTGACAGGGAGGGCAGTGGATCGATGGCAAAGAGCTGGGTGTAGACACGGATACAAAGACACACCGCTGGTGCCCCACTGCGGCCTAACGGCGGCCAAGTGGAGAAGGGATGGTCTTTTTCAGCAAAGCTGCTGGAATAGCTGAACAGCCGTGTTAAAAACGGCCCCTGACCTAACCCCACACTTGGTGCAAAATGAACTCGAAACCAACCATAGACCTCAGTGTAAATATAAAACCATAAGGCACTTAGCACAGAACACAGGGAGACATCTGCAGGACCTTGAGGGCTGAGAACGCGTGTGTGTGAGATGCGGGCAATAATGCCAGTAGGACGCATCCTATTTGAACGCACGGGTCAGGTGGTAGTGCCTCAGTGGACCTGCCCACGGGAGAGCAGCCAGCCTGCCAGTGGGTAGCGATTGGCCACAGGAAACGTATCTATTTTCCCTTTTTTTTCTGTGCATTTTCTTTATGGAACGTTTGGCCCCTGGAGGGGTCTTGTGATTATCTTACCTTCAAATCTCAATAAAGCCGGACTTTCAGCGAGACATATGGGCTCTTCATGGATTTGCTCCCCTGTGAAACTGAAGAAAACCCCTTTAAAGAATACAAACAACCATGTAGTCTCTGGAAATGGTCCTGGGCCACTTCCAAGGAAGAAATGACCTCAGTTTCCCCCTTAAGTAACTGGAGAAAGAAGAGTAGATGAGACTTAAGAGAAGCAAAATAAGGTAAATTTAGAAGATCAGGGTGAGTATCAATGAGACAGAAAACAGACAAGCGATAGAGGAGACTGATGAGACCAGAAGATGTCTGAGAACTGATGAACTCTCAGCCGGACTGAGCAAGAGACCAAGGGAATCACGGTATCTCACCACCCTGATGGGCAGCGACGGCAATGGGGTGGGGCGACTCGATGATATGGGTGAATGTAGTAGCCACATTGTTTTTCATGCAAAACCTTCATAAGAGTGTCTATCAATGATACCTTAATAAAAAAATATATGAGTTGAGTGTTAGCAGATTGTATTCTAAAAAGAAGGAAATAGATGGTCAGACTCAAAATTGAACAAATTGTTTGCAAAAAAAATATCTCTTAACACGAAATATATGTAAACACGCCTTAGGCCAAATAACATTTCAAGAATGGAAGTACATTATATTGAGTTTTATCTCTTTGCTTGATTTTTTTCTTAACTGAGCAGAGATTAAAGTATTATTTGTAATATCAAAAAAAAAGAAAAAAGAAATCAAGAGAAGGCACAAATAGCCAATATCACAGATTGTACACATATGAGACTCCAGAGAACAACTTCATAGCCTTTTATTTGATAAATGAAATAAAATGGACAACATCTATGGAAGACACCAGCTTCCAAGCTCACGTGAGAAGAAAGAGAAAACCAGGATAACCTTTACCTATTAAAGAAGCAAAGTTTTGGCTTAAAATTTTTACCACAAAGAACACCCAGGCCCCAGATGGTTTCATGGATGGATTCTAGCAAACATGGAAAGAAGAGGTGATATTGATTCTGCACATGCAGTTCCACACAACTGGAGAAGGAATGTTTCCGACTTACTCTAAAATGTGCGTGGGAATTAAAATGCCTGGAATACCACACAACTTAGGACAAAAGAGGATCATCGCCTGGTTTCAAGGCTCATCCACATGCAGATGGTGAAGTCTGATCATTCCTCACACCATATATAAAAATTACTTCCCAGTGAATCACAGATCTAAGTGTAAATACAGGAGGAAAGTCTGTGTGACTGTGGGTTAGGTAAGAGTGTCTGAGATGTGCTATCAATAAAAGAACAAATCTGATAAACTGGGCTTCATCAGAATTAAGGAATTTTGTATTCAGAAAGGCACTGTTAGGAGAATAAAAATGCAAGCCACAGGTAAGGAGAAAATACTTTGAGGGGAGTGAACACTAACACACAGTGGGGCAACTACATGCTTCTGAGAATGGCTCAGTTTAAGAACAGACCATTCCAAGTGCTGACGGGCATGGAGCCCAGGTGCCCTCAACCCACTGGTGGTATGCAGATCGGCGCTGCCCTGGGACGGGGGCTTGGCAGGTGCCTATAAATGTCAGCATGCTGCCATCGGATGCTGCAGGCCTGCTCACAGCGTCCATTCACGTGAAATACAGATCCACATTCACACCAGTGCAAATGTTTGTCTGTAGCCACCAGAAGCCAGAGACAGCCCGGCCTGTCCTCTACCTGAAATGAACTGCCGTCACCCTACTCAGCAATCCAGGTAGGGACCGCGATGGTGCAACAATGTGATGACGTGCATGAGCCTCAATGTGCCGTCACAAGTGAAAAGAGGTGGGAAAGGACTCAGGGGTGCAATGCCATTTATGCGGCCTTCAAAGAGCAATGTTCAGGAACAGAAAAAAGGTGGGCAGTTGCCAGGGCCTGGGGCTGCGGCGGGGCTGGCTGCACAAGATGTGAGGGAGTCTCTCGTGATGGCAGAACCGTTCTGCGTCTTGATTTCAGTGGAGGTCGTATGAACATGTATTTGTCAAAACTCACTGTGAGGTTTATTGAATGTAAATTACACCCTAATTTTCCCTTAGAGGAAACAAAGCCCTGTCCCTAGAGGGCGCCCGTGGCCCCTGCCGGGTCGGGCCGGCTTCTCCCTGTGATCTCTGTCTCTCTGACTCATCAGGCCCGTGCATCCCCACCTGGATGACACGGGCAGGGACTGAGCCCCCATCACCTGGCAGCCAGGTGAAGGGATGAGGGTGAGTCCTGGGGAGGGTGAGTGTCACGCCCATCTTCTGTGAGCTCAGAGATCAGGTGGGCGGGGGCAGCCTGGGGCAGCAGCCCTCCACACATCCCCGCCCCAGCCCTCAGGGCCTCAGCATTCCCTGGGCCCTGACGCCCACAGTCCAGGCCTCCCGGGCTCTGTGACCATCACATTGGGTCCTCGGGCTGGGCTCAGATGTGCCCTTCCGCCTCCACACAGGAGGCAGGCACCCCTTTGTGACCTGCTCTCTCGGTGGGACTCTGCTAGTGCAGGTCTTCCAGGGGTCAGACACCAGGACAGGACCGGGGCAGGGACTGTCCTGGGGGAGCATCCCCAGGGTGGGGGCACTTGGGAGGCATCGTGAAGCCTGGGGAAGCCTGGGGCTGGGGTGCAGCTGGGCCTGAGTGAGGGGAGGAAAGGAACCTGTCCCAGAAAAGCTGGGAGAGGCCTTCAGGGCAGCCTCCGGCCAGCATCTTACCCCGGGGACTGGGGGAGCTCTCAGGAAGGAGCCCCCTGGGAGCCCAGCCAGGGGCCAGGGGCAGCCTGAGGCCACGGCATAAGGTTTCAGAGAGCAGCCCCTGGGCCTACAATCCATCACTCTCCCCAAGCACAGCAAAGCCAGCAAGTCCGCTGAAGATTTTACACCACAAACAGCAGATTTTCCCTCCACGTCATGTAAAGATCCTCCCGCACACCAACACGGAATAACAAACATTTTCAAGGATGTCTCACACATTAACAAAGGATCGGCCGTGAAAGACGAGTCATACAGGGGTTCTTCACTACCCGCAGTGTGACTGCTGCAACAGCAAGGGAAACATTCAGCACCCACATGTTGGGATATTAAAAATGTCCCTGAGCTCACAGACACTGAGAAGTGACCAGTGGTCACCAAGGGTCGGGAGGACTGCTGAACGCTGTGAATTATCAGTGGTCACCTGATAATTAAAAAAAACAACTTTTTAACTTCTAAAAGAAAAATCATATCATTATACACATACTATGGTTGATAAAAATGCAGTGTGATGTGGAAATTATGTTTAACTGAAACTAATAATGTTACTAATATATCCTGGGGCTGAATGTGTGAAATTGCTATTTTTTTGTATGTGCTTACTCTCAAAACAGCAATTTCAGATGGTTCAATCAAAGACAATGAAAACACAATGGATCAAAATGAGGAGAATGATTTCGCTGACATACTGGAACAAAGTGTGGTTTGAATGCAAGCACACAGACCCCACCCTGACTCGACATTTTCCTGAAAATCCTGCCTCTAGTGAAACCCAAGGAGACAAAATAGCATTTGCATTAACTTTAACGGGAAAAGTTATGGTGTGTCCCATTTCAGCCCAAAGCACCAAAACTGCTTTAATGAAAGAAACTTCGTTGCAGTGAGCAATGGGAACAATCAGAAATGATGGCAGTTTGTGCATAAAATATAATATAATAAAGGTTCACTTTACTCCTTACCTTTTTTCTGCACCTTTTTCTTTACCCATTTTTCAGCTAACCAATTTGTCACAGTTACCTTGCACTCATAGGACATGTGACAATAAAATTATAGCACAGAAAGCCAGCTGAGGGGAAAAATGGGAGCTAAGCATGAGGCAGTTTTAGACATGTATGTACTAGATGGACTGAAGAGCTGTAGAAAATGCTCCTTTTCTCCCCTCTTGCTTGGCTTATCCAGATGTGGCACACAATTCAGACTGGGTAACATATTTGTCTCTGACTAAGCACTGCTGCACTGAGTGAAAAAAAGCATCTTTTTTTGAAACCATAATGACAATCAATCACTTTTTATTTTTATTTATTTAACATATTTTGAGAAAGGAATCACTATACTAAATGAAATGAAATTGCTGTACTAAGGGCAGTACACACTTTCAGTGGTCTTTAGGGCGAAAGAGTAGTAAACTGAACTGTGGTTACGTCTCTATTTGAAAATGAGAAACAGTGAAAATTAATGAGTTAAGTATTTAGTGTAAGATATTGGGCAATACGGACAAATAAATGCAGGGCAGCAAATAAAACAGTAACTATTAAATGAATTGCAGCTAAACTTAGAGTCTCCCTACAAAGAAAGCTAGGGCCACCTGGCTTCACCAGCTACTGCACTAAATATAAAGCACAAATAAAAACACTTCGAAATAACTCAAGACTAAGAGCCCTGCCAACAAACCCCAAAAGAACGCATGAGGAAGGCAAACCGCAGGGCTGTCACACTCCTGAACGTAGAGGGAAAAGAAAAAAAAACAGCAAAAATAATCCTACAAAATGAACATCTTAGGTTTATTTCAGACATGCAAGGCTGTTTTGATGTTAGTGGAGAAAAATGAAATAACATAATTTGCACTGTTAACTTATTATGGGAGGAAAATCATGTAATCAAACCAAAAGATGCAGAAAGATAATTTGAAAATATTCAATATTAATTTCATAAAGTAGAGCCATTTCTGATGTGCTGCATGTGTTCATAAGATGCACATTAGCTCAAAAGCAATTGGTAAATGAAGGGCCATCGTATGCAAAGAATCATGCTCACTTAGGGTCATTTCCTCCTGACATATAATACTTTAAATGGCTGGGGTAATAAGCACTTCCCCAGTCAGAGAGCAAGACCTAGGACACGGGGACCTCAAGGGAGCTGGAGGAGACGCCTTGCAGCGTGAGTCCCACACCATGTCCACAGGTCTCAGCTTCTGGAGATGCTGAAGCGCAAATGGAAAAGCTGGGAAGACATGACCCTTGGCTGGAGCAACGTGCTGAGAGAGTGTGTGCTTGGAGTCAGACATTCGAGTCTGATGAAGTCTGGGGTGC